GTCGTGGGCTCCCTTGATGTGAACCTCCTGAGGGACTCGGTTCGGTTGCTTGTGGGTTCGGTTGCTTGTGGGTGAGTTCAAAAAGATCCAGGTCTTAGAGGTTGTCAAATACTTAGGTATCTATATCGGCCGTGGTGCCGAGATGGTTGCGTGGTGCGAGGCCGCCCCAAAGTTTCGTCGCCGTGTCGGGATCACCAGACAGCTGGGACTCGGTCTCACACGTTCGGCGCTGGCCTTCAAAGTCATGTGTGTCTCCATCTTGTCCTTCACTCTACAACTACATCCTGTATCCCCTGCTCTTCTTCACATGTATAAGGAGGCGGTCATGTACCTCACTGCGGGGCCACGAAACTCACTCTCATACGACTTATGTACGCAGTTATCTAGCTTCCATCTTCCTGTGGAATTTCAGGACCTTCAGACTCTTGCCCGTGCAACGTGCCTTCGCTATGTTATTCGCAGCAGCACTTTCAGTATCACGTTGTCGAGGCTGGAGGCCCTGCGAGATGAACGTGAAAGTATCTTCGTTCGGTTTTGCAGTGGATGGTGGAATTCATCTTTCCTTGCATATATGCGCCGGCTGTATGAGTGGTATTTCAGTCTGCCTCGCACTCCGTCGAGTCCATCTCCCCCTACTATCTTAGCACGCATCCCATCTGAACACAAAAAGCTTCAACATTTACTTTATGGTATGCTCTGGGCCAACACGTCGCGTCGAGAACACCCACACAGTATTCTGCAGCGTCGTATTCAAAAATGGTTTTCCCTAGTACAGCGTGAGATGGTTGTCAGGTTTTTCATCAATGCCCACTACGTGATTCAGAAAACACAGCCGTATATGATAGTGTCGCTCCTCAGATTCCTCTCGAGATCAGTCTGTACTTCGACCCGATTTCATTCGGCGGCGAAAGGCTGCCTCCTGGGGTGCCCACACGCGCAAGGTTGTGACCTTGACTCAGTTGCTCACTATGCTCGCTGCCCCCGTCTCTTTCATCTATTTCATTGTTGGCTTGGACACATTCTTCCACCGTCGTCGCCGATTCCTGAGGGGTATCCCTGGCTCTTCCCCGCACTCCTTCTTTCACCCTCACCACGTTCGTCTAATGTTCTCTTTGCCGCCTGTATCGATGCGTTCCTCGCTGCCCATTCCGCCAGGCGTAAGAGCACCCCAGGAACCCCAGCTGAACACTTCGAAGCTCGGCTGCGAGTTACTGCTCGCCGCCACCCTTTCCTTTCACGAGCGTGGAGTCAGCAGGCCGCTGTGCAGTTCTCTAGTTCCTCCTCCTCCTCTCCCCGTGTGCGTGTCACCGCTGCTGCTGCTGAGGGATCTCAGCCTGGGCGGGCCACTACAGGCCGCGGAAGGTGGCTTGAAGTGCCCGAAGTGGGGTCTTGAGGCACAGTGCCCTCAAGCATCGCAAAGAAGTTCAGGGGTTGATAGGTTTTTTTTTTTTTTTTTTTTTTTTTTTTTTTTAAAAAAAAAAAAAAAAAAAAAAAAAAAAAAAACGGCCCAAGAGGCGCCCAAGATGGCCCAAGAGGGCCCCAAGACGGGCCCAAGAGGGGGCCCAGAGGGGGACCACGAACCGCAAGCTCGAGCCTTCCGCCCCAAGAGGCCGCCAGGAGGCCCCAAGGAGGCCCCTCAAGAGGCCCCAGGAGACCCCCAAGAGGCCCAAAGGAGGCCCCGAGAAGCCCCAAATCGGCCCCCAAAATGCTTCGAACCTGCTTCCAGGAGGCCCCCGACAGGTTCAGAGGCTCCCGAGAAGCTACGTCAAACTCCCAGCGAGCGGCCGGACGAGGCCCCCCACAAAATCACAAGAGGGTTCCAGTATTTGTATCCTTCAGCGCTCTCTGGCCTTCTTCCCCCTGCCCCCTTCCCTGCGACTTTCGTTGACTCAAGCTCGCCTCCTAGCTAGAACCTAAGCGCGCGCGAAGCGCGCGCGTGGTTCTAGTGTATATGTATGTATGTATGTATGTATGTATGTATGTATGTATGTATGTATGTATGTATATATATATATAAGCAACAGTCCAGTACATGAGCTATTGTTTGTGTAGCAACGCTGCAAATCAAAACTGACAACGGTATCCTTGTTATTCTGTGGCTTGGCGGCCTTCTTGGCCGAGGGGGTGCCCTTTGCGTGCTTCATGGCCTTCATGGCCGAGGGGGTCGCCGCCAGGTGCTTCTTGCCCGTCTTGGCGCGGGGGGTCTCGGCAACGCCCTTGGACGCGGCGCGGGTCTGGCTGCCGAGCGCCTGCTTCTTCTGGCCGCCAAGCTGCGAGGGCACGTGGTCGGCGGCCAGGGCGGACAAGAACAAGCCCTGGTCCTTCTTAGACAAACCGCAACTGAAGTGGCCGAGGTCACCACGGGCCGAAGACGCCTCCCCCCAGATGCTCCTGAACGGGCTTGGCGGGTCGACCGAGTCTGGAGCGGCGACCGCCTTCTGCGCGGGGTCGTCGGGGGAAGCGTCGCCCAGGATGGCAGCAAAGATGCCGAAATCACCGCTCGAACTGGCAAGGGCTGGCGCGTCGGCGGCAAGGCCAGGGTCTCCGTCCTCCAGGGCCAACTGGCCCCGCGAACTGGCGTCCCACGTCCCAGGCGGCTGGCGCTCCACATCCATGTGGTTGAATTTTTCTGGATCTCTCCCATCTCGTGACCCGACGCCTGGAGACAATCACGCCACATTTTCGCATGAACTTGCACTTGCAGACACATGGTTGCGGAAACGGGGCGCGCAAGACGCAACGCAAGTATCAGGTGCGTGATCCAACCAACTACAACATGCATTTGCAACTCAAACAAGTGTGCAGGGAAGCCAACTAAACATACATGACAGCTCTCCGAATGATATCGGCCATCGGAACCTAGCTTCTCTAATGGGCGCCGAAATTCAATCCTTCTCGCAACCGATGCAACTGCATTCAACGTGGGCAGCTACATGTGGCAACTTCCTCGTCGGACCGATAGTGCTATAAAAACATGAGTCCTGGCCCTGCAGGTCCTCCAGCTTCCTATCGGTCATCAGCACCTCGCGGAACTTGGAGGCCAGCGTCCTCGAGAAATCTCCCCCTCCTCTTCCTTATTCTGTCGCTGCCCCTTCCTCCCCTCCCTCCTCCGCCCTGCCCCCCTCCTCTCGCCCCCTCGTCCTGATGTACCACGCCGCGTCGTGGCAGAAGTGCTCCAAGGGCAGGTCACACATGTGGACGGCAGCCTCAAACGCACGTGCTTTTGTGAGCTCCGAGAAATACAAATACGTGTTCGCATTGAGAATATACACACTTGTAGCAAACATAAAACATCATGCGGCATGCTACCGTTGAGTGCCTAGAACTACCCACGTACTTGCTTGCATGGAGAATCGATACACATCAGTCCAGCCGAACATGCCACTACATCTGCTCAAAATTGCTGCAAAAGGTATCGGGCCCAATATGCTTCAAAAACAAACAGCCTGCTGGTGCGTCTTGTAAATGGCAGTCCGCAATTTCACTTGGTGCACAACCATATTTGGAGTCACTTTGGCGAGGTTCTCGTTGAGGCTCGCAAACTCCGACGTGATCGTGGGCTCTGGCAGGGTCTTCTCCGTGACGTTCTTCCGAATGGGGCTGCAAGATAAAATGCAAGATATTGTATGATTGAAAATCACTAGCGAATGTATGCTACGATTGTGCACGAACATTGCTATGATGCCATATGATTCGTTAATGGCGACAACTGTTGGCAAATGCGTGATAAAAAAAAAAAAAAAAAAAAAAAAAAAAAAAAAAAAACGCACGCCTGATAATGCGACACAAGTCGCGGGAGCCCTTCTCCTTGTACAGTTTCTCCAACACCGCACACAAAGCCTGCACGCTCAAGTCAGCAGGGGCCTTGGCCCTCTGGCGCTTGCGCGTGAGTTTGCCCAGCATCATAACGGGGCACTTGAGCGACAAGAAACGACTTGCGGCTTGGCCCTGAATTTTGCAGATGTTACAAAGATGAGCAATGACGCGAATCGTGCGGTGATGGCGCAATCAAGCGAATATAACAACACATTGCACCAAACAACATGTGGTGAATACTGCATCACACTTATGCTGACAAAGCGCCGTCAAATACATTGCATGAGCAACTTGGGGCCGCATGTAATATTAGTACCCACCTTGCACGTGATCGCGCCCGCCTGCCCAAGAAGCAACGTGCGCGCGTTGACATGGTGGAATTATCGCTCGTGCACAGAAGGAATATTTGTTGTGGCAGAAAACGTGATAATGTAGGTTATAATTTGTATGTTCGGTAATTTGAATTGTCTCAGTGAGATACATTAAGTTACCTGGAGAGAAAATGAAACTATCTCCGTCGAAATATAATATGTCTCAGATAAGTTAAAACATAACTTTTTTAGTTTTTATCGCAAGTTAGTTTTTAAATTTATCCGATCTTAAGGGCCCCCCCTTTCCGCCCGGTGCCGGAACGACGCCGAATCCACAACAAAAAAACGCCGCCCACACACTGGGGAGGCAGAGGCGGGGCAGAGGTGGGCGCGGCGCAGGCCCCCTCCCCACCCGCCACTGCGCCTGCCGCTGCCGCCGCAGCCGAGGCGGGCCCAGCCGGAGCGGGCTCGGCTCGGACTCGTCGGCGCTGGGCCGGGCCCGTTGCCCTGGCGGCACGGGGGGGGTGCGGGCTCGGGGCCGCGCGCTCTCCGCGGGGGGGAAGCCCGCGCGGGCCGCCCTGGGTCTGTCGTTGCCTCCCGCGGGGCAGCCTCGGGGGTCGCTTGGGGCCCTCGCGGGCCGTCGCGCGGTCCTCTGGGCCGTGCTGTGGGTGTCCGTGGGCCGTCTCTGCGCTGCCTTGGGCCGTCGAAGCGGGCGCTCTGAGGCCGCCTTGGGTCCGCGGAGGGGTCGAGGTCGCCTCGGCCGCCGCGGGGCGAGGCCGAGTGGGGCCTGCGAGGAAGAGAGGGGCCTCGGGCCTCGGGGCAGTGCCGTGGCTGGCGCGAGCTGTGGGGGCCAGTGGGCTGGGCAGGCACGATGGGGCGGGGGAGCAATAGAGAGAGAGAGAGAGAGCACGGGCGCCGCGCGCGCGTGCGCGTGCCTGGACACCAGCAGGGGCCAGCACAGCGCCGTGCGCATCGAGGCCCCGGGCACACCACCGAGGCGCCACCTCCTCCTCCTCCGTAGGCATTTTGGCTCAAGGATTTGTTGCCCTCCCAATTGGTTTTAAGTTCTGCTTCGTTGTGGCTGCTCATGGCGTCTGCCATGACATCTGCCCTGGCATCTGCCCTCGCATCGCCACTGTTCAGCCCGACAGTGGGCTCGGATGCTTTGCTGAATCCATGGGTGCTGGCCATCATCCTCGCTCCGGCCATCGGCTCCATCGGCATCCCGACTTTGCTCACCTTCGTCCCCCACGACGGCAAGCCACAGCTCCACACGCCAGATGCCCCGCCGCCCGAGGAGATCTGGCGCGCGATGCCATTCCTGGACCGCGTCACACACGCGGCGCGGGACGTTGCCGCGCACAGCCCCAACCACGGCATCATGACGTACTGGAAGCACATCCGCTTCTGGATCGGGGGCTGCGTGTTCAATTCTGTCACTTTGGCGCTCGTCCCGAGGCCATACGACATGTCTCTGGACGAGTGGGCACAGCAGGCGTTCGTGAAGAGCGTGATCCTGCACGCCGTGGGTGAGGGCATGGGCTTCTTCAAGCAGGGCCCCCTCTGGGGGAATCGCGCCTGGCCTGACACATGGAAGTATCAGATCACCCCCGGGACCTTGAAGCAGCCTCTCTTTCCCAAGGTGTTCGGCCACAAGAGGACGTACTTCGACGTGGCGGTGCACGGATCGTTCTTTGTCATGTCGATCGCGGCTCAGCTCCTGCCTCGCGTGCCAACGTGGTGGATCTGGGTGTTCAACGCCCAGTGCACGTGGTGCATGGTGAGCGACTTCCACTTGTGGCTGCAACGTGTGGGCTACACGTACATGTACCTGACGTTGGCGGCCGGTTTCCCTGCCAACCAGGGCCGGTTGGCTGGCATGCAACTTGTGTGGCTGTTCCAACGCCTAGGCTGTGGTGTGGGGAAGTTGGGACCGTGGTTTTGCTACGTCATCGGCATCTTCATGCAGAGCCACCCGACTTGCAAAGACAGCGAGAATTACAGGTCCTTGATCCACCGCGGCCCAGACGACTTCGGGCCTTCCACATTTTGCAAGAAGCTTGGCTACTTTGCAGAGCTATGGGAGACATTCTGGCCAATGACAGTGCTGCTCACTTTCTCCCCGCTGATCTGCAGGATTGGTGTCGCGGGGCTTGTCGCCATGCACACCTTCATCATCATAGCACCCGCATTCATCGACGTGGTCATGTGGAACGTCGCTTTCATCATCGGCGACGTGTACCTCTTCGTGTGGGCCTCGTGCGGATTCGATTGGACGGGTTTGTTGTCCATGCACCCGATGTTAGTTCTGTTCCTGGTGGCCGACCTGTTCGCCACCACGGTGCTGATGCAGTACCCGAAGGCATGCTCGCGCTACTTCCGCCACGCGCATTACACGGGCAACTGGCCGCAGATGTCGTTTTTGATCAAGAAGTCCGTCGTGGACAAGGTGGACAGCAAGGTGAAGACGTTCGGCAACAAGGCGTGGAATATCGCTTCTGATGGTTTCGCTGGTGAATACAAGACTTACAAGGGCTTGGCCTACTCTTGGCTGATGAACCTGGACGCCAAGATCTTCCCAGCACTCGTGCAGCGCGCCTGCGCCATGGCAGGGGAGACCCCGGACTCGTACTACATCCAGGGCGGGCACCACTTCATGGAGTACCTCCAGGGCGCTGGCTGCGATGGTCAACAGGGCCCCCGTTTTGCGAAGATGTTGTGCAAGGAGTGCGGCTTGGAGCCAGGCGATCTTTTGGTTGTGTGGATATGGGCTTTTCCGGTCTTCCAGGCATGGCTTGACCCTGAGAACTGCAAGGCCGAATGGGAGATCCATGATTCCACGCAGGGGACGAGCTTCGACATGCCTATTGCCAAGGGAGCCGTGTCCATGCATTGCCTGATGGCCTGCGACAGCTTGCCGACCGCGGGTGCGAAGTTGTTGTGCTTCAAAGATGACGCAGCCGAGGGCGTGATGAAGGCGGCCATGGGAGCGTGAAGGCCGCTCCTGCGCCACAGAGCCGGTCGTCTAGTGAGGGTTGATCCAGCGCCGCTGAACAGATATATTGTTTTTCTCGACGCGCGCCCCGCTTTCCCGGTCCAAGGTCGGCGGCGCCTAATACTGCTTCGCGAATTGTCAATTCTCGAAATCGAACAATCGTTGCATGCCCATTGTAATTCCAATGGCGCCTTTTTGCCTTCGATGTATATAGCGACTCTTGCTCGCAAGTTCCGTCATCTCCCACTGCTGGCCAGAAGGTGATCACGACGGCAAACTTTTCCACAGCGGCCGTTCGGCCTTGCCTATCCTTGTTTCCAAATCAGTAGAGCAAGACCTGCTCCAATACGCTGAGCCCCAGCGTCGCGAATTGTCAAT